ATCCACAAGAGAGTGTGCGTTAATAAACTCGAATGAGTTTCTTCTTTGTTGAAGTAAAGTATTCTATGCAGTTGATCACTGGCTGCATGTTCTCAAAGGAATTAGAGCTTTTGCTGCTATCTGCAGTCTCTGTTTTCCGCAAAAGACCGAGTCAGGGGTTTCTTGGTTTATGATTTGGTTTTCTTTATGGGGTTTAGTGTTGTAGTAGCTATCATTGTGAGTGCACTGAAGCTACCTGGAGACGTGGACTAGATTTCGGATATAGGGCAAAGAGCCATGGGTGGAAACCATTCATGGATCATCACTACTTTCTCTCAATGAGAACCAGATTGGTAAGATGGGGATCTGGTAGGCGTTTAGTTGTAGAAGTAGAATTCTCGTTCCTCCAGTTTGCTTAAGGAGTTAGACTTAGTAATTTATGGGATTGAGGGACTTCACTTATTTTCAGCAGCCCAGTTTTGCTCTATCGGAAGTCCATATACCCTAGATTATGTCGTTGAGGAAGGTTAACATTCTATCCACTGTGTTTTGACATCTTCTAGTCTATACCAAAAATCCAAAAAAGAGATACAACCATGATTCAGAGTATGAGTGTTTTCACATATGCTCTAAAAAACATCTTTGGTTTCTTTTCTTCCACTTCTCTCACCAAATGCAGGCAAGGATCGAATTCAAGATTCTTCTAATCCTGTAATCCGAATTCCGAAATGCAAGACCTCTTGTTTGTTAGCTGGTCAGAGGCAGCTCTTAAAAGATACTCTGTATTTAATTAAATATGATAAGGAGATCCTCTTGTTTGTTAGCTTGTTAAGAAGTAGAGAAGGTAAGAAATTCCATTTTATCCCTGTAAATCCCAAAAATACAAGATTACCCATTGTCCCATTTCAATTTGAACCTGCCTCCAACCAGTCATACCCTCTCTACTCTGTCGACCGTAAGATGGATGTGGATGTTTCTTCAATTTTGTTTTGTCCTCACAAACTATTTTTTTCTTTTCTATATTTGTTTCTATTTCTGCTAATATTTTTCATTTTCTTTTTGTGTGGTGGTTCATCATAAATTCATTAGTTTTGCACTGGGTGTGAGCCTGCTGCAATCCTACTCCTTTATCCGAGACGGGGATGGTAATAGAAGGAACTGTTCTTGAAAGTCCTACAATCTCTTAGAATCCATGTAGACATAGCAAAATAGTAGGCCACAATAAAGTAAAAAGATCTATATAGGCGATACCAATTAGTTCGGAATATGTTTAGCCATGTTAATACATTTACTTTAGGTTTTACTAGGAGTCTGTTAATCTTGTCAGAGATTTGTATATCAGTAGGAAATATAGGAACTTGTGCTTTCAATTTTTTTTTTGTATTTTATTGGTTCAAGATAAGCTTAAATGGGTGATATGATCAATGAGGATTCATATAGTGATCCCAACTTGCTTATGATTTAGATGCAGGTTGTTTGTTGTCGTCTTTTGTGTGTGTGTGTGGGATGCTCGTGAGGTTAAAAGGTGCAAACACTTTTCAGGTTCCATGCTAAGGAGTATCCAGCATATGATAAGGAAGTCTTTCCTTGCAACATGGGCTACTGCCAAATAGGTAGGTCTGTCTGCATCTTAACCACTTCCTGTGAGATCTACTGAATGTTCAGAATTGGATTTTCTCAAACTTTATTTACCATCAGCAGTCTTTAATCCATCAGCGTATTAGAAGGACAATAATGATGTTCTTTATACTCATGTTAGGTTTTATTGTTCTCAGGAACTAATGTTTCTTATGACGATTCAATGAATTTGCATAACATATTGTGGCTAGCTCCATTAGCTAGCAACTCCTCAAATGAATGGTTAGCACCAGGTATGTGTCTTTGAGGTTCTCAAATTACACTTATAGTGGAATGTTTCCCAGTGCAGTATACTTTACTGCACGGACCATATCAAAGATGCGGAGGCATCTCTACGACTTGCATTTCTTATTTCTTTTTTTCTTTTTTTTTTCTTTGGGTGGGTGGGGATAAAGAGGACATTGTGTTTGTAGAATCTAATGGAGTTCATCAACTATGCCTCAATCCCAAGCTAATTAGATCAGCTTACTTACAAATTACAGTTAATAGCTGCAGAAATGCAACTATAGTTTGGAGTTTAATGGGTTACCAAGATTCTTGAGAAATTTATGGGGATGTTAGTGAACACTGTATCACTGGGATAAGAGCTTTCACACATCACGCAGATTTCCTCTTGATATTCCCCTTTGAGAAACAAACTCACAGTGAGGAACTTCCTTTGGCTTTATTTTTTAATAATAATACCTTCGAGTTCTCTTTGGATAAAGTAGCATAAATAGGGACATGATGCTGTTGAATTTCTAAAGAAAGGTGATCCTGTTGCTACAACTAAGGTTGGGGTAAGGTCTGCGTACATCCCACCTCCCCAGACCCCACTTGTAGGATTACACTGGGTAAGTTGTTATCTTTATTAGTAGAGTTCCACCGTCCACGTCTCTTTTTAGCTTTCCCTTTATGTTTTTTTTTTTTTGATGACAAGGGAAACCCACAGCCGCCACCCTTTGAGTGCGCACAGGGTAAAACCCCCGCTCCTATGCAATAGCTCGCAAACCACATAGGAGAGGTAAACCGCACTAGGCAAGCCTGGTGCGACGAGCTCGACCCAAAAGGCAAACCAGCTTTCCCTTATGTTTGTCCATGTTTCTCAAGTATTATTTCGCAGTATCTTGACAATATTCTCCAACTCTGAAGCCACATAGAGCAGTGGAACAAGTTGGCTGTTAAATACTTGTCTTCATAAGTAACTATAAACTGAACATGGTTTGTCTTCAAGAAAATAAAGTCACTTTATTAATACAGTAAGGTGCTAGATTGCTAAAAGTTGTGAGAGATATTATGGAGCACAAAAATAAGTTGTCATGAATGTGTTATTGTCGTCGGTTTCTTAAAGAAATATGTATCCTTGAGTTTAGCTCCTAAACTAACTTTTTTCTGTGGATCCCTTCCACAAATTCACGTTATTAATTTCCTGTTGTTTTGATGACATGTTGGTAGAATTTCTTTCTAACTCTCTGGACTATCAGTGAAGTGTCTTCCTGTTTAAAGACATGGTTGACACTACATTCAATTTGTCTTGCAATGTTAGTAAAAGTTCAGTCATAACGAGTTTGTGTAACTTTTTGATTTGTGGACAATCAATGAGATCTTCAATGACTTAGATAAAAGCCCCTGCCAATTGGGCGGTATGACAATCACCTTTTTTTCTGGTGAGTGACAGTTTAGACTCTTGAGGGGAGGGGCCAGGGAGATTCTGGGGTCGGCAGAGGCAAATTTTTGGTTCAGTTGAAATGATGAAGATGGATAGTATCATTTTGAAAAAGGTTTTCATTTTTTTGGGCTTCAAGTAAAACACTGCTCAATTAACTTAAAGTACCTAGTACAAGCTACAAAATGACAAATCCAATCTATTAGGATAACCGTGAACATCCTGATGATCTGTAGGAATGAATTAATCGGGAAGAGATAGAGAGAGGAACCAATTTTCTCTCGCAGATAAAAAGAGGTTACAAGTTTCCTGTTTGATTACCTTGTGACTTCTGATGTAGAGAATTTCATGTTGACAGCAGCAGGGACGGCTCAATGCCTTTAAAAATGAGGCATCCGTCTTAGTCCCAAAATTTGAGACCCCGTTTTTTTTAAAGTAATAATAGAATTATTGCAAGTATTTTTTTTTTTTTTTGATAACCGAGAAATCCGTCTGTGACCCGCCCTTTGGACCAATCACAGCCTTCTAAACTCGGTGGATAATGGGCCCGCCCCTCTACCCTTCTCCACTTAAATACCGGGCTTCGCTTTGCATGGTGTGGGGCTTGAACCTGCGACCTAAGCCACAAATCCTCCACCTTTTGCCACTTGAGCTAGGCCTTGGGGGCAGAATTATTGCAAGTATTTTTTAACAAAAAAATAAATTATTTAGTGTCTTTCTTATATTGTTTCGAAACATTAAGGAATGTATCTTTCTTTTTTGTCCGTTTTTAAATTTAACTTCCACATGACGTGTTCATTAAAAAGAACAAATAACTTTGGATTTCAAAAATAAAAGCTAGGCTTTGGCAACTAATTACTGCAACTGGACAGGAGTCTTAGTTGTCCAGGATGCACGTCCAACTGGAGTCATATACAAGGACCTCATACCCGAGTATGTTCAAATTGCCAGGACCCTGTATGAAGGTTTGAAGTTTATTCTTTATCAAAAAAGGTTTGAAGTTTATTTAAATTTGAATCAACAATTCACAGTTAACCTTATTATGAAAACTTTGGAAACGTTTTCTGATACAATCATTTGCTGTTCGCCAGATGATTTTGGGGACGTTGCTTTTGATGTTAACTACCTAAACACAGGAGGTGAACCACCTAAGTTTCAAATTTTCATTTGCTGACCTCTTTGGAAAGGTTTGACTGTCAATTTGCAGTTTCACGAAGTGAGAATCCATATACTCTATAGATATTGCTTATCAATGTCATGTAATTTCTCTGCCCGAATCAAAATGCATCTTTGAAATATTTACTTGCAGGCACTACTCTCAGTATTTGATTCTAGCGCATTCAAGTGGATGGTTGTTTGGAAAAGGATTTGTTTGACAGAGATATTACTATTGGAATCGCGAGTCTTTAGTCATTTAGTTTGTGAGGGGAAATCCTTATGACAAATATCCTCTCTGGATTATACTGTGAAACTTGGACAATGAAACAATTATTGAACTGTGGGATGTAGAGTAGGATTTGTGGGTTCATAGAAACCCAATAGCTTTTGTTTATTCCACGTTTATGTGATAAGAAATCCATTAAACATTTAATATTTAATTGTAAACTCAGTTATTACTCTACATTAATTTGAGGTTGCTTATGAACTTGTATGTATCTGCTTCTGCGATCGAATTTTGTATCTCAAAGATGTCATTACTCGAAAGGGTTCATACTCTACGTTGTCTCTTAGCTATTGTGGCCTTACGGTAAGCATCTGTAGGGTATGAGATATATTTCTCAGTTTAATATCTTTGGTATTGCTTCCCTTTTTAGTTACTCACATTCTGTTTTTTCCATTGAGATGTTGAAGTTTTTCTATATTATGACATTCACAATTATTTTGCCTAATTATTGGGCTTATTTTTTAACCATGCTCAACAAGACTTGCAAATTCAACCTCAGTTCTCAGACGGCACTCAGATTATAGTTTAAGATATGCTAGAACAGTTGCATTTCTTGTGGAAATTTTCTTTCCGGCTTAATTGAAAAAAAAGCTGCATGTTTTGGTCTGTGCTTACCGAAATCAGTCTGAAAATAAATAGTTTAGGCTAATCTCTCCTATATAGATGCTCTTCTTCTTAATCAGTATCATTTCTTCTCTGTCCTTCTATATTACATTCTATGCCTTATCTTTCTAGATATTCTTAGTAATCTTCACCTCAGTCCTCAAGTGTTAATAAGCTATCCTACATCATGATTCATGTGTGTGTTTATTCCATAAAGAAATCTGATTCATAATACACTGGTTTACCTTTTTGTTCATCTTTATCGGTGAGGAACAGGTGTCTCCAAATTAATGGGTAATGACATCAATGTCAGATACTAAAATGGTAGTAAGACACCTAAATTTGTTATTATTGGGAGGCATTAAGAGGATAAAAGGATTATATTCTGAGAGCGCAGTGAATTCTTCAATAGTTCCTAATGCTTGACATGCAGATTATAAAAATCATGTTTTTGTTTTATGTGAGTAGTTCCCTTCTTAACATGGCTAGTTATTCTTCTCATTAGAGGCTTTGTTTATGAGTACTGACTTTGTGATTACCATTGCTTGCCAAATTCTCCTAATCATGGTAATTCTTGTGTAGGATGCTGAAATTATGAAGTATGTGAGTGAAACATATCCAAAAGGCATCTGTTCAGTTTACTGTACGAAGGGAAAGGATGTGGAAGAACCAGGATTCGACTTTGAACTTGTTGTGGTGATTTCAGCTGCTAGGCATAGTCCTCAGAATTTCTGGTGTGTTAGATTATTAAAATTCTAACTCTGACTAATTTGTGCAACACTCCCTTCATAATTCCTAAATAGTTATACTTATCGTGGTACAGAACTTGTAAACAGATACTGAAGTAATAGGTTGCTATATATAAACAAAGAATGACGGATTCTATTGCCTATTTTTCCTGTCGGCTTCACACTTGTCACTTGCGTCAAGTGATATCTTGTTATAGCACGTCTGACTTGTCAATTGGGTCAACTGATACTTCTTATAGCTTTGTCTAAAGAACCTGATACTATATGCATCTTCTGTAGCAATGGAAGCTGGCGATCAATATGGAATATTGAATTTAAGGATGAAATTCAATCTGTAGAAGTGAGAGGCGAGATGCAGGTATGCTTTCATCAACAGTATGAGCATATAGTGTTTGCCTTTTGGTTTCCTGATCTTTATTTTAACCCTTTCACAGTTTTCTGGTTTCTTCACTGACTTTAGTCATGAATGTAGACTCTACTGAATTATTCTTTTTGGATTGAGCCGACCTTCTAGTTTAGGGGTGAGGGTAGTTGTCGCTTTGTTGTTGTATCAAAAGCTTAATTATTCAAACTTGTATATCCTTTACCTGCTCTGTATTCAGGTTGGCGCCCATTACTTTGAAGAGGGAAATGTACAGCTAGATGCAAAACACAAATGTAAGGATACAACGCTAATTCAGGTAAGTGACTATAGTTTGTTCATAAACTTCTCTTTGCTTTGTTGTCGTGTCTCCTGGTCTTAACTCATAAAGGTATAGCAGCTGTTCTCTGCTGTAGATTGTGCTGTTTCTTAACCAGTGCTAAGTGTTAACGCTTCAAAACAGCACAGAGAGACTGTAGATTGATGCCTCGTGAAGGTACTCGGAGAATGCAATGAGAGTTCAATTCTTTTGGCAATAAATCATGATAAATTTTCTCAAAGGAAATTTAAGGGCGGTCTTGAGTTTAGCTCCTTCTGCAGTGTGAGACTGTGGTTGTTGGTACTTGTTTTCAATAAGCAAAGTCTGTTAGTTCTCAACTTCATGGTATGTATTGTTTCCAGATTACCATGTCTGGAGCAAAATTATAAGCATTACTATCCAACTCTAGCAGTAGAACAGACTTCCGTCTATGATAGCTTTTTTCATAATTTTCTTTCATTTAACACGATTTGTCCGTAATTTATACTTTCAATGAGAGTAAAAAGGCACTAGGATGGTTAGACAACCAAGAAAATGAAAAATGATATAGCTGCTTCTGCACATCCTACTTTGTGTATCTGTGTAGAGATTGAAGGTCATATTAATATCAACACTTTGTATCTTAAGCAATCTGATTGGAAATCATATTGTAGAAGAAATAGAAGTAGCATGTTAAGAAAATAAATGGTGAGACACAACAGTTTCTGGATATCCTATATTTTGCTGGTCTATTGTTGGAAAAGGTTAAAGCTAAAATTAAAAAAAAAATCTTGAGTGATCTGATTAGTAATCGAACAGGGAAGAAAAGAAGTAGCATGGTCAGACAGCCAGAAAGAATAAAAAGTGAGACAACTGTTTCTGGAAATCCTATTTGCTTAACTAGTGTAAAATTTGAAGGTCAAGCTAAAGGAGAAGTTTTTTTCTTGAACAATCTTATTAACTCGAAGAAATAAAAGTTTGATCAAGTCTATCTTGTGATTTTGTTTATACTTTCAATGGTTCAAGTTTGAATTTACTGATTTTGTGTTGTCTTTCTTAGTCCCCAGATGATTCTGCAATTTCCTTGGTCAACATTATTCGCCACCATGAGACCGAGTATCTGGCTTCTCTTCAGGTTTTTACGTTGTTCCTGCATCACATTCAACCCCTCTTTCTATCATGTCACCTAACACTTCCCCCTTCCCTTCCCCTCTCTTCCACCACTTTTCTATCAAGTCTCTGTTGCCGGTATTTTTGTTCCAAGTTACTGGCAGACATCTTACTTGAAATTGCCTGATACCACTTTCAAGGTACTCCTTCAACTTCAAAGCCTTTAAATCAAAATATTTTAAATGAAAGATGCATGAGTGCTTGTCATTACTCAGTACAATCATACATACAACAGTCATGTTTTCTCACTATGTCTTAGCTGGGAGAAACACCTCTCAGCACCTTGCACCATGAAAAGGATACAAATAAATAAATTCTCATCTTTTGCAGGACTTGCGGAGGAAGCTTCCCGTTAGTCGTACATTGTTCCCATGGCACAACACTGCACAATTTAGCCTTACAAGAGACATTGAAAAAGAACTTGGAATTGGGAAATAGAAACATTGCATGTCTTTTATACAAGTTGAACATGTATACACCATTCTTGATATGACAAGCGAGTTTACTTGAGATTGCCGTCTCCGGCTATTTGTTGTCTTCACCCTATTGTATTCCTTTGAGAGAGGGATTTTCATTTTCAGTTATTTTACCATGTTTGCTAACGTGTGAACTGCCCCTTAGTTGTTAATTTGCCAGTTGGCCTAAGAGAGTTGTGTATGCTGTGAAGAGTTGTAAAGTACTGAATTGGAAGTCTTTCTTCATGGTTTTTAACCTTGGAATGACTGACAATGCTGGTAAAGAATGATACTTTTTAGTTGTTATAATGTACTTACTTTTTTCAAACGCACTACCAAAAAAACAGTTAATACCGACCTAAAAATTATCGACCTCAAATAGAAGCCAGTAATTTCCAACCTCCGAAGGTTGGTATTGTTAAAAAGAATAAAATAAAAAAACTTTAGAAAACCGACTACAAGGAGTCGGTTTTTATGAAAAATAAAATGGGAAAATCAAATACCGACCTCTGGAGGTCGGAATTTTTCCCGAAAAAAATGAATTACAATAAAAACTGACCTCTTGATGTTGGTATTAAATAAATCAATAAATAAAAATATTTTATTTTTTCTCAATTAAATATAAAAAACAAATTTGAGAAATATTTTGAATTAATTTTATTTAAATCGTCTTTCGGAGGACAGTTTTGTGTAAAATAAAAAACAAAAAAAATTATAATACCGACTTCTGGAAGTCGGTAAAATTAAATTAATTTTCATTAAAAATATTTATATAGTGACTTCCAAAAAATTAATAAATTAATATTTTCAATTAACTTTAAATAAATCGTCCTCCGGATGATAGTTTTATATAAGTTCAAAAATAAATTAATATAAAATACCGACTTCCTTATGTCAGTATTATTTAATTAACAAGACTACTTTTTATTTATCTTACAATTTAATGTGATACCGACCTCATAAGGTTGGTATTTTTTATTTAATCTAATTACTTTTAATAAAAAGCGACATCCAGAGGTCGATTTGTTCAAAATATTCCTATTAATCATAATTTTGCTATTGTGCATAATACTAAATTATCATTTTACGAAATAGACAATAAAACATCGTAAAGTACTATACAAAACAAGGTCTATCAAGATTTTTATGTTCGATCTTGAATGGATGTCAAGTGTAGTGATCATACCGTAGGCAATGACATGTAAAGGATAATTCATCGGAGTATGAAATATGTTGATTATATACTTATCGAGTAGTTTAAAAAATCAAGTCTTATATATTAATGTTTCAGATATGAAATATATTATCAATTAAAGAAATATCGATGATCAATTTAAGGAGATTTATATATTACATTTGATATTGATAAACTTTTGTTGATCGATAAAATTAAATTTATATAATTAGGAGGTATATATATATATATATATATATTGTTGACACCCAATTTTGACCGACTTATTCGACTAAATACGTATTTTTAAAATATATTACGAGTTTAAAATCTTAATCGATTTTGTCTAAAATTATATATTATAGTATCGCTAATTTACAAAATTATCAATTATTA